GCAGCTGTGGCGCGTGGTCGAACGCTGCGATTTGATTGTGCAAATTGTCGATGCGCGGAATCCCCTGCTGTTCAGATGCGAAGACTTGGAGAAGTACGTCAAAGAGGTCGATACAAACAAGAATAACCTTCTACTCGTCAACAAGGCGGATCTTATGACACTTGAACAGAGAGAGGCATGGGTGCAGTGGTTTGAGAAGGAGCAGATTGAATTTCGCTTCTTCTCGGCCGAACTCGCGCGGGAGACGAACGAGAGGGTTGGCGACAACGAACCTGATAATCGCAGCCATGGTCCACTCACGAAATCGGATATCCTTACAACAGCAGACCTCGAAGATCTCTTCTTAGCACACGCACCGGCAGTGGAGGGGGCCTCATCCAGCGCAAAGACTCAAATTGGCCTCGTGGGCTACCCCAACGTGGGCAAATCGTCCACAATCAATGCCCTCCTAGGCGCCAAAAAGGTCTCTGTGTCGGCAACACCGGGGAAGACGAAGCACTTCCAGACCATTCACCTCTCCGACGCCGTCATCCTGTGTGACTGTCCAGGGTTGGTATTTCCAAACTTTGCAACCACAAAAGCTGAGCTCGTTGTTAACGGGATTCTACCCATCGACCAGCTAAGGGAGCACACCGCGCCTGCGGCCCTCGTTGCGAAGAGGATCCCGAAGCCCGCGCTCGAGCGAACTTATGGCCTCAAAATCCCAGAAGGGCAGTCAACTGGCACGCAGTTGCTCCGTGCTTACGCCCAGGCGAGAGGTTTCATGACCCAGGGCCAGGGCAGGCCTGATGAGTCCCGTGCCGCGAGACTCATCTTGAAAGATTACGTAAAGGGCCGCTTATTGTATTGTCATTCCCCTCCAGGTGTAGAAGAAGAGCTGTTTAATCCAAGAGTGGAGGTGGAAGTGGATAGACCAGAGAAAATGTCACAAAGTAAGGAGAGCAACGCCATTGATAGAGCATTCTTCGATGAGGCTGGAAGCAAAGGGACGGCCAAAGCCCCGTTTCATTTGCTGCAGCAGCAGCAGAATGGAAAGAAACATTTTAAGGGGGGAAGCAAGAAGAAGAGGAAAGTGAGGAGGCCGGCGGTGGATGATTATTAGGACATGTGGCCAGCAACTGCGTCGAGATGATGATACCACTATGTTTGACAAGCAAACGGCAGAGCTCCTATGACCTTTTGCGCCTAAGGAGGTGCAGGGTATGCATCGCCTTTTTCAACCAAGTCACAAGCTTGATGCGTAAATCATATACGGTACCTACCCGAATACAGCAGTTGTGCCATAGGTTCTCATTCTAGATTTCAATGTCTGGTCGAACGTGTTGCAAAAGGCTCTGTTGAGAAATTAAGAATAAAGCAGGACATGGCGTTTCAGCACCCATCTCTCGCTTCACTTCATTCAGATCGCAAAGGTGTTAAGCCTTTTTACAAGGCAACTTGATCACTTCCAGCTTCCAAATTTTCCCACCACATCACTTCCCTTTCCCAACTACCCCTGTCAGCATTATAGCTATTGCTTGTCCAGTCATCCCTCCCCTTCCCAAAACCTCCTAAAGCTGTCTTTAACCACCTCTGTCTCTTCATCCACCTTAAACACCTCAACAGTTTTATTCGGTCCTTTAACGAGTCTTATCCTCCAGGTGCCGCCTTTTCCTCCAATCGTCTCCTTCAACCACGCACAAAACGCCTTTGCATAGTTAACACACACGACGCCATTCCACGCGGCCGTACTCGCCGCAACCAGATCTGGGATCCGCCTGGTTTCCAACTCATCTAACTTGTACAACAAACCCCTCTCCGACCGAAACCCGACAACAATAGTTGGGATCCCGAGGAGGTAGGACTGCGCCCAGATCCGTAGTAACTTGTGCTCGAATTTCAGCACATCTCTCACTAGGGTGCTGCCTTGATTATGTCCAGGCTCCACAGAAGTTTTGAGCTCAATATACTCCCGTCCTCGCGTGCCATCCTCTCTGACCCCATCAACCTCCCCGCCCAGGATGGCGGTCACATTGCCGAGGGCGGTGCTGATGATGGAGCAGAATTGGGAAGTATTCTCCACGGGGGCGGGATGGCGTGTTTCAATGGCTTCGCGAGTGCATATTGACCACGGGAACGGATGGAGCAAGAGGGACTCAAATTTATACCCCCAGTACATCATTAGATTCTGTGAGGGCGGATCGTTGTGCACCTGTTGGGGACGCCGAGCAGGTACCCTCATCGGAGGTGGCATCTTAATTTGATCCTGCTGGTCTTGCTGGTTTCCCTGGGAAGGTTGAGTGGGGGCAGACATTCTCCGTCGCCTAAACTCGAAATTTTCTTCAATGAATCTGTCTCATCATCAGTACCTTCACACATCTGAACAATGGATGTAATTACATCGTCCCCTATATCCACCGTTAGCTATTCCTCATCCCGCTTTCCAACAACATTGTCCAAAAAGTATTGAGAGATATTACCTTGTAAGAAACAGCATTCATCTCGAATTCGTTGAAAAAATCGTACGGCGTAATGAGGATTTTGGTCATCATTCCTCGCCACGTGATTATGTCCGCCCGTGTTATTTTCCCTCCGTCGCCTTTGGATGTATCCAACGCTTGGAGAGTATCCAGCAACCCGTCCAAGTGCTCGTCAACTTCTTCCCGTGCGTGGAAGGTGTCGTAACCCTGTATTAGAGGATCAGTGGGGAAGGAGGCGGTGGCGGGGTTGGAGTGGTTATATATCCCATCTGGTCCTTTCGTTTTAAACTCACCAACGAGAGATCCATTGGTTCGACAGGGATGCCGGGGACCTCGAAGAAGGGCGGGTGGTAGTACTTTAGCGATCGGTTCGAGAGGGGATGCAGTTTTCGCGAAGAATCGTAAGAAAAAGTCGCAATTTCCTGCGGACGTCGAATCGAGCTGGGGGTTGAGAGGGTTGAGAGTGGCGGAAGGGGGAAGGTATATCTCTCCTCATTCTTTGGGGGCATTCTTGGAGTTTGGGCTTCCTTGGGGGAGGGGTTTCCCATGATAATTGGAGCCGAGACGTGTGTTAAGCAGCTTCTCTAGTTGATTGGGGCTTTGTTCGAGGTTATCCGGTTCGACAGTGACAGGTGCCAAGCCTGTCTAATTACGTAAGCAGGGTGAATGACGCACAGGTTGGGTGGGCAGTGGAAAATTTACAGAAATCGGTTCCAGTAATGATACTTCTCGGACATCGGCAGACCAGGAAAGCAGGAAACCTTTATACCATGTCTGGATCGTAGCTATGTGGTTGGTCGAAGAGGCTGAGAGCGGCCAAGAAGACTGTAGTTATGCCGCGGCCTTTTCGTTACAAGTTTGGAACATGCCTAACTACATGAGGTTCGAATGACGCTTGATCACAGACAAAACTGAAGAAGCCAATAGATCCATAAACAGGTTTTGTCCACTACATCCAGGATTCGCTATACCCAGGTGCAGGTAGAGGGGGTAAGGTCAAAGTTAGACTTTATAGTGCGTAAAATTACTATGATGAGTTATTATGGAACAGTCAATGCCCACGCCTTCGAGATCTCGAGCGTCGTGGTTGATTGGGAATGTAGATAGGTACCTAGCATTGCTGGTGAAACTGACGACAACTACCACTGGAAAGGTAGTTGAGTGTTGATAGTTCTCCCGGGGAAAATAATGTATAAGCTGCATGAACGACTCAAACTCGATAGCTAGAGTTTCGGGAAGCTTTTGATCTTATGCTCCCCTCACGGTTAATGGGGAATAAGATGGACAGTACAGAGTTAGTCGATCTTGCTGCAAAGGCTGCGAGGCCTATATAGTGTTCAAGGGCCAGTTTCTATAGGTATTCATAATCTAGTCAACGGCGGGCGCCGGTGGAGCAGCCACGGTCTTGTCTTTTTTCTTAGGTGAAAACGGGTTGTTCCCGCCCATGAGCATGCTGCTCATCATGTCAAACATTGGATTGCTCTGTCTCGGGATCTTGATGCCAAAATATTGTTCGCCGATGTGCGCGAGCGGCTCGTCCCAGCCGGCATCCTTCAGATTTGAACTGTAATGAGATTTGAGGGTTTTGAACAAATCGCTTGTCCCGCGTTGAATGGCGAGAAGGAGTAGGCCCAAAAAATTGAGCAGTGGCAGGGATGGGTAGATTCTTATGTCCGAGGACGGCGAGGAGATGGACTGCACGCCTAAGCCGGGGTGATTGCTGCTGAGACGGTTGTTGAACAGCAACAGCGCTTTGTTCGCCGCGCGTATGTTGCCAACAAGGAGGTAGGGAAAGACAACGCGCGCGGCGTAGCTAGGCGCTGTCGGCGGCTCATCTGACTCATACCACTCATACTCCATATTGCTGAATATCTCCGCCGAGTCTGATGTGCCGAGCGTCAAGTGTCGCTCGGCATCGTAAACGTCGCCCTCGTCGGCGTACAGCTTACCGATGACGTGATGCAGCTCCGGGTCACCGGCCGGAAACTCACTCTGTTTAGCCGACCACTCGATAATGCCCGCGACGAATTTCTTTTTTACGGGCTCGTTTGGCGGGAAGGCGCGTAGGAGCCCCAGGATGCGCGCCTTGGCCGCGACATCGGCTTTGATTTCCGCCTTTTGATAGACGTCGATGAGGTATGTGCAAAGATCGGCCCCCGATCCGCCCTGTCCAGCTTGCAGAAGCAGCAGGGCGCCTTCGGAGAGCAAGTCGATGGCTGACGTGAAGTCGCCAGACTTGACTTTGCGATTGGCCACGGTGCGGAGTTGCTGATGCGCTTCGTAGTAGTCGCCCTCTTCGATCCTGTCATCGTAAGCTGAAGGCGCCTCGTCGATCTGGGTACGCACTTGGCCTTTTGACGCTCAATCACTTTTTGGATCTTGGCCGACATAGTGTAGTGTGGTGGGATAGAAGAGCCCCGCAACGTCTGCTATGCATATATGTACGTCACAGCTCAAATATGCTGCGAAGGTGAGCATCGGCCAAATTCGGGACACTGTCAGCAAGCAGGTATAAACAACTTGACCCAACTCAATTATTAGGCGTTCGTAGTTTAAGGGTAGAATTCGAGCTTCCCACCCCGTTGGATATGCTCGAGGACCGAGTTCGAGTCTCGGCGAGCGCATTTTTTTTGCTACCCCTGGAGCGGAACTACTTCGAATCCGGAACACGTGCACATCGAAACACTTTTTGGCTTTCGTTTTGATATCACGTGTTTCATTGGACTGCTAATTTACGATACTTTAGAGCTGAGTTAGGATAACAACTCATTTGTCCTTTATCACACCATAAGGTACCTATTTCCCTCGCCTAAGCCCAACTGAGGCTTTCATCTGTCAAATAACTATCATGTATACCATATCCTCAGAAATTCGCGCATGGTGATCCGCCGGCCATCATGTACAGTTGAACCTGGATGGCATACACTGGCTGCAGCGGATGCTACTTTATGGTGTATTTTCAACACGCCCAATTTGCTCTCCACTCACCTCTAGGTATCCGAGTACAGTAGATCTTTGGTATAGCGGATAGCATGGTTGCGCCTGATCGACCCGCTTAAATCAGGTTCGACTGCCACTTGTGCCAGAGAGCATCAATGATGCTGCTGGCTGGCAAACTCTGAAAATCCGCATTCCAATTGTCAAGCCATAGCATATCGGTTGATGGCATTGTCAAATTGCCACTGTGCTAGCAATCATTTATGGCCCCTTGTATTGGTTTGGCAGCAGTACACCATGCCCACACGCTAAAAACTCTCCCAGGATTACCAAAATCTTTTAAGGAGAAATTAGTGATACCTGTGAAAATCTCGAACAGACATCCACAGTATCTCGTACTGGCCGATGTTTCCATTTGAGAAAGGCGTAGTGATTCCGAAGGTCAGTATGCGTGGCGATGTTGGCTTCAACAAGATGTCCTCTCTTTCCCTAACATAGCAGCAATCATCGGGCAAAGTAGCATCGCGGACGTCGCTCCAGACGACTAAAGCAACTATTTTTTCTGTACCTTTACACAGATGAAAATGCGTCACGCTGGACAGACAGATCCGTCTGTCCGCAAAGCACCAAAATCAACGGAGTCGTACAATGAGTTCTTACTCACCATAGCTAGTCAGTCCCAATGGCCACTAAGCCCATGGCAGCTGCACCTTGACATCATTGGGGAAGTGATCAAGGGATTATGTGTTGATGGCCATCAACGACCTCGCTGTTACTGACTCCTGGGTAGTTTAGAATGGTGACCACAAAACCTTCAAGGATCGAAAATTGGAGAGTGCAAATTTTAACAGAACTGTGGCTTTCTAGGCCCAAGAGGCATTACCTAAGACCCCCTTTGGATGTTTAGGTCTCTCTACCATGTCACCCTCTTTCGGCAGCTTTGGCCCTTTTGCACCATCTACCTTTCCTTTTGCTTTCAATGAGGTCGAGTCCTTTGGTAACTCCTTCTTATACTTCAAGATATCTGGTTGACCCGGGATCCACTTCCTCAGCACCTCTGGGACCTTGAGTCCGTTTTCCGTCTGATAATTCTCCATGATGCAGCACAGCGCCCTTTCGGTCGCACACAGCGTTGAGTTCAGCGCATGGACATATTCCTTTCGATTGGTCTTCTGCTGCTGGCCGTCCTCGCCCGTGGCGGTCGGTTTACCGCCCTCTTTCTGGCCATACCGTACTTCGAGCTCCCGTGTTTGGTAGTCGGTGCAGTTGGAACAGGACACTAGCTCCTTGTATTCGCCCTGAAACGGGAACCAGGCCTCGAGATCGAATTTCTTCGCCGCAGCGTTGTTCAGGGCACCAGAGACTATAGCCACCACCCTGTAAGGCAGTCCGAGAGACTGATAAAACTCCTCAGACGTCGCAATCATTTCGTCGAAGTGTTTCCAGCTTTCGTCTGGTGCGCAGAAGCGGAACTGTTCGATCTTCTCAAACTGGTGCACCCGAAAGATGCCCCAGGCATCTTTACCGTGCGAGCCGGCTTCTTTGCGGAAGTTGGTAGAATAGCCTGCGTATTTCAGAGGCAGATCCTTTTTATGCAGCCACTCGCCCTCGTGCATGGCGGAGATTGGCTGTTCCGAGGTCGCGATTAGGTACTTATCAGACACAGGATCATTTTCGCGCTCGGTGACTTTGTACAGCTCTTCATCAAATTGTTCCAGTTGGGCGGTTTTGGCCATGGCCTCGCGCAACATAAAATATGGAGTTTGCACGGCGGTGTAGCCTTTGGAGGCTAAGAAATCCAGCCCGTACATGATCAAGGCTTGGTTCAGCCATACGCCATTTCCTGTGAGAAAATAGCCGCGGTGGCCGACAATTTTGGTGCCTCGAACGGGATCATAGCCGTCGAGGCGGGTGAGAACTTCGTGGTGAGAGAGACAATCTTTCTTGGAGGGAGTGACACCCTCGGGAGACCAGGAGCGAATGAGTGCGTTGTTAGCCTCGTCATTTGAAACAGGAACAGACGGATGCACATAGTTTCCAATCGCCTTGAGCTTACGCAGGTAGACGGGAAGCTTAGCCCTGGCCTGTTCGGCTGCTTCTTTTTGCTCCTTTTCGAGCTCCTGTTTCTGGGTGAGAAGCTTCTGGAAATCCTCGGGGGATCCCTTGTTCTTCTTATTTGCCTTGAGATCCACCTGTACCTTGTTGATCTTCTCCTTCAGCAGCGTCGTCGCATTGTGGTTGTCACTCATCCAGTCGCGGAACGAGGCGATGACGTCGTCGACGGCTTCCACCGGAGCGCCGCGCCGTTTCTGCGAATCTTTGATCGCTTCCACGTCGCCGCCGCGCTCAGCCAGGAAATCGTTGATGTCCAACATGGTGATGGTGGTTTGACGTGACAGCGGGGGCGTGGCCCCGCCAAGCGCACAAAAGGTAACTGACATACTACATATCATCACACTCGTGCTCGTGATTCCCAATTCTTAAAAGCACCTTCTACTCCCGGATCCAGTCAAATACCACACAAGCAAACCGTTGCGTAGGCCAATCGATTACCCAGTAAAACACCTCCCCTGCCCCAATCGTGACCAGTAAACAGACGATAAACGCCACAGCACTTGCTTTTGCGTATGTATCCATCGAGCCGCCGATTATGTTCATGACAAGCTTGATGCCAAGCGCGTAGGCGATAATGGATTGCAAAAGGAAGTAGCCTGTGCTGTAAGCTTACCGGCCACAGACTCCGGAAAAACTTACTGAAAGACCGCTTTCCGATGAACACGAGCGCCCGGCTTCTGAAGATACGTTGCAGCACATCTGTTGATTCTAGCAGCAGATTAAACCCAACAATGACCAGGTAGTCATCTGCACGCAAAAGTGGCGCAGTTGCATCGTTCCAAAGCCATAAGCCACCCGTTTGGTACACCCCCGTGTGGTATTTGATCTCGGCCGTGTACAGTTCAGGCCAGGCAGCAACCCAGAGAAACTGCATTGTGAAGCCCGCTATCAAACATGTGGCACCTGCTGCGTACGTTTCTAACCGATGCATTTGCGCAATAGCTTTGAAGTTGTAATTAACCACCAGATCCGCAAATAGCAACCCAGTCACGGAAAACCAGGCCCAGGAGTAAACCCACCAGGCAGCGAGGATGAACACGAGTGCCCCTTTAAGACGCCAGCTGTTCCGCGTATACGGGATGATAGCCACGGCCATGAACACGGTGTAAGACTGCTGGAAGATGACGCTGACAACCCACAGCGTCTGTGTTGGAAAAGCCCAGCTGCCGGCTTGATACGAAAATCATGTGGAACCCAGAATATGTCAAATATGCTGTTAAAATTGGCGAGCGAGTTTGGCAGCATATAAAGGTCCTTTGTCATGGATTCGTTCTGCGTCTGGGCCGAAAACGCGTTCATATATTCCGTCCCCAAAGTTTTGGAAAAAATGGCGTAACAAATGATGAGGGCCATGGCGGTTGGGATCCATAGTCTGATTCCACGTCGAAGGACGGAGCTTGCCAGCCTGAGTCTGGTCGAATTGAGCAGAAAAGGCAGACTGATCGTTCGGGCCGACAAGAAGATGATGGACGAGTAGATCAACGAATCGTTCCAGAATAAGACTGAAAGAGACTTGCGCAAGACCAGCTGATGTTCGGGACCAGTGGTGTTGTATGAATGTGCCACGGCGGCAGGTGCGAATGTTTGCAAGAACATCCACAACCAGCCCATGATGGCAAGGCATCCTCGCACACCGAGGAGGTAATCTTGGGACGCATCATGGGGACTTAATTTCGTGGCAGCTGAGGGAACAATCGGAGCGAGCAATCGCGGTAACTGCTTCTCGGTACCCATCTACCGAGCCCACAGTTTGGCAGCGAGATATCACGAAAGCCAAAAGCGGTTAGGCCGTTTATGCAAGCTGAACCGTAGAGCGCTTCCCTGCAACAACCATCGTGGCGTAATCAGAGCGCAAATATGTTACTAATTTCGAGATCCCTGGCGCATCTCGTTAATTCCTGAAGTTCGGCATGTCAACTTCTGCAATGCCGTCAACGGTCTCTTCAGGCGAGAGGAGACACCACTGGGTACCAGCAATTTTGCTTCTACTATATCTTGTTTTTTCCATAACACTCTACTCGATATGCAATCAACAAGCGCTGAGAGTGGTCTGGTTCGTCTACCTAACAATATCCACTCTGGTTACCGCGTGCATGGCGTTCGAAGCCTACGATGGCAATACTTTGATAAACGACGCTCGAAAATCATTGAATAACGTCGCCGAATCAGCGCGTGAGGCTGCAAAGGACAATTGTTTGCCCTCGATGCATCTGATATTTGACACAAATAATGCAAGCTTTGCTCAGAACGTTGCTAAGAGCATCGATTACCCCTTTGACAGGTTGTTCATCACATCTCTGTGCCAGTCCGGCGACTTTACCGCTGGTGGACGCACAACATACTTGACGTGTACAGCGCAAGAAGTGCCCGAACGAGTGGCCTTTTGTTTAAACCAGAATGTGCCTGCGTCAGATTGCCAAATAACAGCTGTTTTTGCAGGCGATCAGCTACCGCATCCATATGCTCCACGTCTCGCAGGTCAGAGAATGCTACAAAACGAGAACCTGGACATGATACAGGGCAGAAGCTTGCTCACGTCACCAGGGCGGACGTCGGTCGTCAGTCTGCTATC